GAAACAAAATCGAATGATACATGAAAAAATAAGCAGGGGTTCAGTACAAAATACTGAAGAACTGTCAATAGTAACTCTTTATGAATAGATATGTTGTACTCATTTCAAACTAATCAATGCCACGCTGTTTCAATCAAGACTTCCAATAATTAGGAACTGTTGATAAGTGTATATGCACAACAGAGTTATACATCAGGAATTGATCATGAATATACCTGCAGAACGCATTTCAAACTCATAAATGCCACTGTAGTACAATGAGAAACTCTGATCAGGAACTGATTATGAAAGTATCTGCAATAAACATTTCAAACTTATAAATGCCACTGCATTCCGATAAGGAGTTCTGATCAGGAACTGATTATAAATCTATCTGCAAATCAGAGTTCATATGGAATTGCTATGATGAACCCATTATGAATGCATGTATCTACAATACACATTTTGAACTCATAAATACCACGGTATTTTAGTGATAAATTCCGATTAGTGACTGATTATGAAATGTATCTGCAAAACAGAATTCATACTCGTAGATTTCATATGACTGTGCTATAATGAGCTATATATCTATGGATGTATCTGCAATACACACTTTGAACTCATAAATGCCAAGGTATTTGAAAAAAATCCCGATTAGGGACTGATTATAATTAATGTATCTGCAAAACAGCGTTTATTGTCATACACTTCGAAAGAAATTGCTATTAGGAACTGATTATAAATGTATCTGTGAAACACAGATTATACTCATAGAGTACGTGAAAAACTGCCAATAGAAACTCATTATGATTGTTCCTGTGAAACACATTTCAAACTGATAAATGCCACGGTAATTCAATGAGAAATTCCAATTAGGAACTGATGATAAGTGTATCTGCAAAACAGAGTTATACTCTAAGTGTTCCTGAGGAATTGCTATTAGGTATTGATTATGAATGTACCAGCAGGATACATTTCAAACTCATAAATGCCACTGTGCCCCAATAAGGAATTCCGATTAGGAATTGATTATGGATGTTTCTGCAAGACAGAGTTTATACTAATAGAGTTCATACGGAATTGATATAAGAAACTCATTCTGAATGTATCTGCAATACACATTTCAAACTCATAAATGCCACGGTATTTCAATAAGAAATTATAATAAGGAACTGATTGTGAATGTATCTGCAAAACAGTTTATACTCAAAAATTCCCATTATAAATGTATCTGCAATACACATTTTCAACTCATGAATGCCACGGTATTTCAATGAGAAATTCCAATCAGGAACTGATTATACATGTATCAGCAGAACAGAGTGCATACTCAAAGACTTCGAAAAGAATTGCTATCAAGAACTGATCATAAATGTATCTGTGAAACACAGCTGATACTCATTGAGTACATGAAGAACTGTCAATAGAAACCCATCATGAATGTACCTGTCAAACACATTCCGAACTGATAAATGCTACGGTGTTCCAATGGGGAATTCCAATTAGGAACTGATGATGATTGCTATGAGGGGCTCATTATGAATGTTTCTGCAATACACATTTCAAACTCATAAATGCCACGTTAATTCAATAAGAAATTGCAATTTGGGACTGATTTCAAATGTATCTGCAAAACAGAGTTCATACTCATAGAGTTGCTATTAGAAACTCATCATGAATGTATATGCAGAACACATTACATTCTCATGAATGCCACAGTGTTTCAATGAGGAATTGCCATCAGAATCTGATTATAAATGTATCTGTAAAACATAGTTCATACTCAAAGACTTCGTTGGAAATTGCTATTAGGAACCGGTCATGAATGTACATGCAGAACACATTTCAAAATCATGAATTACGATGTTTTAATGAGGAATTGCCATTTAGAACCGATTATGAATGTATCTGTGAATTACAGTTCAAACTCATCGACTCCATTGAGGATTGCCATTAGGAACTGATTATAAATGTAACTGCAGAATACATTTCGAGCTTATAAATTACTGTTTCACTATCCAACTTGACTCTGATATATTCTCATATGTAAATAACCAGGAATTACTAGTAGGAACTGATTATGAATATATCTGCGAAAAACAGTTCATACTTATAAGGAAAAGGGAGAGAATCGCCATTAGAAACTGATTATATATGTATCTGCAAAATACATAGGATTATACGGAATTACTGTTTCACTATCCAACTTCATTCTCATTAATTCCCATATATATTTTTTTATAAGTTTCTATGAGACATTTTTGGCAGGGTTGGCTAAGGTTTCACCATATTGTCCAATAGATTGCTGCCATATATGTGGCACAACAGAAGTACCTTTTTCATGTATACGTGAAGTATCATATTCTGGTACTGAAAGTACCATGAATCATGAAACAAGGAAGTTATAGCTTTGGTTGAGAGTGTCGCACCTCCCTGTATATTGGATTATGTTTTTCATATACCACAAAATGATTTGTGAAATCAAATTTCCCTAAGGTACCAAATTAGTGATTCTTTTATATCAACAGTGACAAAGATTGAAAAAGCTGCATTTAATGAATTATTTTCAAAGGGCTGTAGCACCAGTTGAAAAATTTTTTCGACACCCCTCGGAGTATACGAACGTTATTCTGAGACACCCTGCAGATATACACTATAAAATCTTGTATTCTCACTTATTTTTCACCACTTTTTCGACCCCAGAAAAATCGATTAATTATTGATCACTGAATTAGTTTGGGAATGTAGTCGATAACTATAAAATATTTCATATTCATGGCTAATAAGATATATGTATAGATGCCAACATACAGAAATAATTTTTCTGGGGTCAAAAAATTGGTAATAGGAAGTGAAAATGGAAGATATCATGTTGGATATATACTCATGTGATCACAAAGAATCACAGATTCAGAAAAGCATATAAGAAACGGGGTGTTCCATATAAAAAAATATTTTGTGGTTTGTCACGCCTTTGGGGATCGCCCTGTGAAAGTTCTGATTAGGGCTGTGGAAAGGCCTCCTTGCGGTATTCAACTTCCGCATGTTGTTTTTTCACCTCGATAAATAATAACCGGGTGAGCCTTTTCGATGGATAACCCTGTACATACATACATGGTTGTTTGGTTCACCGCCGTATATCTGGGAGGGGGTGATAGGTAATGTGATTTTGAATATATCCATTTATGTAACCTGATATACAAAGCGTTACACTTTTTGAGAAATCATAGCTTGGAAATTAGTAGTTGGATGTTACAGTAAGACGTTCTAAATGCTAGCGAGTCGAAACCTTCTTTTATCACATTCAGATTACATTACGTGCTCGATATTGAACTACTTATCCATCTATTTATTAAAAAAATATTGTGATGATATTCCTCTTAGAGGGGCTCTAGAAACAACATCAGGAAGGCAGGAGTACAACGATCATCCTGTTACATCCATCCCAGATTGTTCTCCAACATCCCAATGATTGTAACATGAACCAACCTATTTCCCAACACTCGATATATGTCGCGGTGACAAATAACGTGACAGAAGATTCTGGAATGTCTGGAAACAATCGATGAAACAATCAAAGAGAGAGGTATTGTTATAAGAAGCTTCTAGAACAAAAGAAGGTTTCGGAAGATTATTCGAGAAGGTTCGACCATTGTCGATCTAAATGAAAACCTAGTAAGCGACCTAGTACGCGAGGAGGTACAATAAGCTCTTGCCTACCAACTACCTAACCAGGTTGTCATCATCTAGAACGACAATCGTTCGACAAGCAAAGCCTGCCAAGAGATCTGATATATAAGGACGGCCGGACCGCCGCCGTCAGTCAGTCAAGCAGCGAGTGTCAGAGAGACATTCATGTACCGCGTGATATGAATCATTCCACATAAATAGTAGTTATATAAGTTCGATATAAATTAGTGTTCCTTCAGTTGAAATAAATCAGTTCGCTTCGCACCCGAATGAAATGTTTGACGAAACTGTTATTATAACTTTCATGGACCCACCCATCCATCAAATTCGGTAAAATTCAGGGAAACGATGATATCTCGAAATGCGTTACAGTTTGTATAATATATAGTAGTTACATGGTAGGATATGTTCAAAATGTTCCTACCAATCACTCCCTTTGGCCCCTCTCAAATATATGTCGGTGAACGAAACACCCTATATTTACGAGGGCTCATCATAGAAAACTATCATGCAGAGGTGACTTGTTGGCACTATACATCAATAAACACGCGAATGCGCAAAAGTGAACATGAACACACAGTATGCATTAAATGTGTTATTGTTATTTAGATAACTCATAGTAGCCGAAAGAAAATACATGACTTGACACAGGTACACAATTATAAATGTAATTCATCATTTCTTCATTTGATTGTTTTTTTTTTCGCATCATGGATTCTCTGGATCATTTGGTATCGTCTCTATAGAGCTATTAATGATGTGTCTAGACGCAAAAAAGGAGTTGTAGAGTTCGAAGCATTTTTGAATGCCGCAAGATTTCTGGAGATTATTACATCCTCGTTCATGAAATGAGACTGCATGAATGACATCAATAATTACTTTCATAGTTTTGTCACCTTTCGTTCAACGTGCCGTCATTTCAATGAACGTTTATCAATGGTGAGACCAGAAATGAAGAAATTATATATGACAACAGAACACTCACCTTTTGCAAACGTCAAATTCAGTTGACAATTTCATATTTTGCGATTCGCATAAATTTTGCGGAATTCGTACAAGTATAAACATACCTCAAGAAATCAAGGAATACGGCATCAAAATTTGATTTAGGTAAAAAAGTATGTGAGATTGAATAACAATCATGAAAGAATCAAATATGGATCACTTGTTACCAAAGTTTGCTATCCAATAACACATTTATGAATCATCAGTTCCTGAAACAATGTCATTTCAGAATATAGTGCCTTCAAAATCGAATTTGGCGTTCGATCGAATGTAGGTATCCGGTACTTCACGGAAGCATTGCATAACAGAAACAATTTTCTCACCTGCAATGTTGGCATATGCCAGTGCCTGTGGTATCACCGTCAACCCGACTGTGATGCCCGCTACCAAATCACCTACTGCGCATGCCGAGTCGTACCTCGGCAACCAACTGAGTATGGGCAGTCTTCTATACAACAACTTCTTGGTGCAGGCATTCTGCGCTTTCGTCTTGACCCAAGGAACTACTGATTTAATGGCTTCCACGGTTGATGAATGCTTTTTGGTGGTATCTATCACTGAAAATTGAAAAGAAATCAATGTTGATGAAAAGAGATTATGACAGTGATATGCGAGGCCTCATGAGATAATCCCCGAACATAGTGGGAACTTTTCATTCACCATAATATCGATCCTCGATTCACTCAAAGTGTTAACACAAATATCCCGAGGATGTTACATTGGGGTCTATCAGGGTTATAAACCAAGTCACAATGACCTATCATTGGTATTGCCAGGAAATCTTCTATTCGATGAAATATTCGCTATATACTTATTTCGATGGATTCGAGACTTATATCTGAATACCAGGGATCAAAACACAGAGTCGCCTCCTGAAAATTCTAGAGACGACTTTGTGTTTCGATTCTTGATAACTAACCACTTCACTTTGGGATTCGATGGTCTTCTACCACAGATTGATATGTGAATTTGTGAATAAACCTCTCATCATTAGAGAAACTCTTTGGGATCTCGCTTTCGTGTCTGACATGAAAATTGATAATCCCTTACCTATCTGACGAAACATTCGTAATATTCGTATCATTCTGTTGAATTTGAGACTAGGTATTCAAATTTGTGAAGGCCCTTAACAACCACCTTGCATTTTTGTCGGAACATATGACAGTGAGAAGAGGAGTCGCTTATTGTTCAATTTGGCACCACAATGTGAACTATAAAATATCGGAATCGTGATGTGTGACATACATGTGATCCACTTTGACATCTCTGGGGTCGATCCGTGGGCTCTGGGACGAAATAGCGATGGCCAAGAAAGCGACGGACAAAATATCGAGGCCAAAACAGCGAAAAGACAGAATAGCGATGGACAAAATCGCGACAGACAAAACAGCGACAGGACAAAATAGCGACTGACAAAACAGCGACAGCAGATAAAAGCGATTAGGAAAACTGCTCTGGGAATAGCGACAGACAAAACAGCGGCCGAACAAAACAGCGGTCAAACAAAACATCGACTTAGGAACCAACGATTGAATGAAAAAGCGCATAGTTTGCACATAAAAATTTAATCCAGTATATCAATCCAATACTACTTAACCTTATATTTGTATAGGTTTCTTTTTCATCGACTCCCGTATTACTATTGTTACGATTGATTCATTACATGACATCTATTAATAAACTTTTGTCACCGGTTTGGACGATAATGAAGATCATCAAATCACAAGAAGGAACAGATTTGATACAATTTGAAGGCTACATATATACAAAAGATGAAGCCATCATAACTTCAGAGTCATGGAGGTGCGTGAAATCATTATGCAAAGGAAGATTGTGCGTGCAGCAAGGTAATCCAAAACCCACCATTCTTCACAATCATTTTGGATTTTGGAAGACAGAGGGTGAGCCCGCTGGGGGCCCTCAATTCACTTAGACCTCTAGGGTGGGTCCATTGTGGTACCTCTGTTGTTTCGTCCCTCATTTCTTCCGAACCGGCCTCAACTGAGTAGACGTTCACCTACCATTCGTATGAGTCCTCCTTGTGCTCTCCCCATCTGCTCTCCCGGCGAGCCTGGATGAGCCCGCCAGAGCCTTCGCTGGTCCAGAGCCCGACTGCTACCCGCTCCTATCGTGAGCTCTCATGCAGGCCCTGCTCCAGAGCCCATTGGTCCAGCGCCGGAGAACGCGAATACTGACATGAATAAAGATGATGAAGTCTCCTAGAGTAAAACACTCCGGAAGTAAATTACCTCTTCATTCGGATATACGGGCGAGAGGTACTCGAGGATACTCATCTCTAAAGATTGATTTTTGCAACAACCGGGGACTCAACAAAAACAACAATGACATCCACCAACAGAAACTCAAGTGAACTCGTCCACAAAACGAGGTCCACATGCTCTGTCCTGGTTACGAACTCCATTCTCTATTCAGGTTCAAAGGTGGAGTCTGCCTCTACGCTAAGGCCGAGGCTAAGGCTAACCTTTTATGCCAGAGAGTTTGGAACCAAAAGACTTTGATGTGATGTGGTTCAAACTAGTCGATACCAAACTGACCAAATTCATCTCCTGCCTTATCCTATCGCCTAATGATAATTAATATAACAGCCTCTTTGAGTTTTTATCACTCAAACTGGACTTCATTCAGGAGAATCATCCAACAGCTGGAATCATAATCATGGGAGACTTCAATGTACACAACGCAGCCTGGCTCAAATTTTCTAACGAAACAGATGATGCAGGTCGTCAAACTGGAGCCTTCGCCATAGTCACTCAAGATGTCAATAACCAGTCTGCCAATACACTAGATCTTTTTTTCACCAGCATTCCATATAGAATGGAAGTTTGTGCCCCCTTGGAAACACTGACCACACTCTCAACTCCACAACCTGCTCTCCCCATGTACCATACAATTCGACGACTGGAAAGGCCTTCGAATGTCTTTTTCAGCGTTTCCATGAAAGAGAGTTTGTTTCTCCTTAGAAGATCCAACACGACGTGCTGAGACAATTTCTGAAATCATCATATTGGGGATGCAAACCTACATTCCGAACACTGCAAGGAGAACATCTTCCGATAAGGCTTGGTTCAGTATAAACTGCTCTAGAGCTGTCGCTTCCAAACAGGCAGCATTCCATCGATGGCAGAAAAATCCAGGCCCTAAGAATATGTCGAGACTAGAGGCATATGCAATGAGAAAATTCGATCATCAAAGGATGCTCATAATGCCAGAATAAGATCAAAACTTGTTGATTGTCCTAACGGATTTCATTCATCTTTCGCCAAAGCTGTAGGAGAAACTTCACTATCAGCTCGTTTCCACCTCTAACCAAGGAATATTTATTTCCTGAAAATTTCACTCTGGATTTATCGAGAAAACAACCGCCAAACATAATGCCAATCGACAGTCATATGTCCGAGATCACCTTCCGCCAACGTACTATAAGTGAGATTTCATTGGGGCCCAACACCAACAAAGCTTATGGCTCCGACGGAATCCCAGCGATTGTTCTCAAGAAATGTACTCCCGAACTCTCTCTGCAAGTTGTTCAACTACTCTTGGGGATATTCTCGTTCAACTCGTGAAACCAGTTCCTAAAAAAGGCATGAAACCCTACCTAGAAACTACAGACCGATCGCACTGCTATCTATTATTTCAAAGAAGCTATCAACATCGAGCTCATGAAAAACCTGAAACATTCAGATGATATCAACGATAGGCAATATGGCTTTCGTCATCAGAGATAAACTGGAGACCTGCTCGCTCACGTCTCACATATATGGCAGCAATCTATCGAAAAATATGGCGAAACCTTAATCGTGGTACTTGATATCTCCAAGGCATTCGATCGAGTCTGGCACCACGGACTCCTCGCCGAACTTCCATCTTATGGCTTGCCCCCCAGCTATGTTCTCTGCTAGCTAGATTTTTCTCCGAGTTTTTCTCCAACAGATCTCTCCACGTACTGGTCGACGGAGTTTTATTTGACTCTCTTATCATAATCATATGCTGGTCATCCGCAAGTATCAATTCTAGCACCAACACTATTTTTACTTCATATCAACGATTTGTTGGAAGCGACTTTGTGTTCAGTACACAGCTTCGCGGATGATAGTACCCCCCATGATGCCTTTTCTTCCAGGCAAATCAGAAACAAAAGAGGAAGAAATGTTGACAACATAAATATGCACTTGGCAACAATTCTCGAATATGGATCCAATAACTTGTTAGATTTCTATGCAAACAAAACACAAGCATGCCTCTTTTCTCATTGTGCCCAACATCAGTTTGTCAGGAGTGACCATACCTTTGAAGATATCCTAAAAACTTGGTTTTTTGTTCAGAAGCTATTTCACTCCGAGTCAGCTGTTTATGATCTATAAGGCACAGATCCGACGTCTCGTGGGTGATGCTTCGCTCACAGACTCTCTCACATCTCTGGAACACCATTGAAAAGTTGGCGATCTGGCTCTATTTTACAGATATTTCCATGGACGATGCTCTTCTGAAATATCAACAATTGTCAACCAGCCTAGGCCCCCGGCCAGGGGAAACCTGCGTATTTTGACAGGACTGCTCACTTGACAGTGTCGTCTGAGATACAACCTAGGATGAATGGGTCTGAATCAACAAGCAGACTGTCGTTTTTCTGCTGCGTGGAACACGAAACGGATAAACACATACTATGTTCATGATCTTGCTTAAAAAGGTTGAGGTTCGACATATTTGGCTGTACTAATTCAGAGCCTATCGATTCCAGACAAATCTCACTTTGTGAGGAACCTAAAATCTCAAGACTGAGAGATTTAAGAAGAATTTCGTGAATAGGGCAGGTGCGTTTTGATTGCAGATTGTCTAGGAACGGATTCTGGTATTTTGTTCACACCGCATGCATAATTCCCGATTCTCACATTTGTCACTATGTGACTTCAGACAGCAATGACAATAAGCATTCTTCATCAGAACCATGTGCCATCGGTGGTTTACGACTGCAGACTTGAACTCCCCAAAATGTTCTACAGAGTGCTCACCATCTTTGCAGATTTCACATAATTTTTTGGTGCCATTCAACAAAAAACTATCGTGTTTAAGTTTCAACTATTAAACTGACACTCTTTGTAAGAATTAGGCAACAAGTGATCGATGTATAACCTGGATCTTCTGAAGAACTTATGGTATCACTTCACTTACAAGAAAACTGACACGATCCGAAACATGTCGTTGTCCATGATCAGGTGTGATTCTCACTCTGAAGTAAATACAACGAAACTGAACTGAGAACTGAGGACAAGAGGAGTAGCAAAGAGACGATATCAAGAATGCAATAACTCCCGAAGATATTTTATTCAATAATTCATTTATGCTCTCGAAACTACACGAAAAAAAAAAGAAATTGTTGAATCAAGCAGAATTGAATTGAATGAAGCAAATATAAGTGTCATATATCCACGACAAAATATAATCTTGAAATGAGTGAGTCTATATCTCGTTCCAGAGCAGATTATAAGTCTGAATCAAGTGAATGTGTCTTGCATGAACTCTGGATCTTATTCAATCA